AAAAATCATATTGAATCATAATTCAATACAATTAAAAGTACATATATGTTTTATGCTATATAACGCGATGTGATTGACCAATTGAATTTAATATAAGATAATATGATGAGAGTTAAATGATTCATAAATTTTGAAAAATATTCAAGCATTTTTTTTTCATATTCATTTTCAAGAATCAATCAAAGAAACGGAATAAAATCAAGTACTTACCACCGCTAGTATAAAGAAAAGATATTCAATTCTTACCACTTCGTATTTTGTCTTTAGGATCGTTCCATGAAAGGAATAAATTGATTTATTCAGTAATTTGAAACTCGATGAAATTAAATTACTTGCGATATTATACGCGCGAAAGCAACAGACTGATTCAATTCGATTTATTTGAGATTTAATCGAGATGGCGCGCAAACTGATCCGAAGTTGGTCACAATCACGCACATGTGAAGCTAGAATTGTATAGTAATCTGATTGGCTCCACCGTGCTATTGTTTTATCAAGCAAAGCGCGATTCTCTTCATAAAAATGAAAATAGCTTCGATCAAATCAACATGAGCACTTCATACATGGTCACAAGTTTTAATTAAAGCCAATAAATAAATTTTAAAAAACGTACTTACTTACTGTGAAAATGTGCAGGATTGAAAAAAATGAGTATATTATGCTTATTATAAAGAGAATACATATTATTTTTCTATTTGTCTTGGATTGAATTGTCTTTTCAATTATTATCATAGTTCATGGTTACATAGGGTTACATCTGTTCTTTTTAACTGAACTGGCTGCACTAACTCAGAATTTATCTTTCTTCTTCCAGTGTTATCTTCCAAGAAAGAAAGATAAACTCGAATAGGGAATCTAAATTCTTGGAAGATTGGACCACGTCCAACGATAGCCAATGAAAATTTTATTTACTTCTTAGGGTCCCTAGCTTTTATTTCTAGAAAACGTATTCTATCGAATGGATATCGAATGCGGTGTGAATATTTAATACGGAGATAGATTACTGCTAAGCAAAAGGCTCATATCTTAAATTATTTTATTAATATTTAAAGAAAATTATTAAAATCTTTATATATAGAAAAAAAACTTGAAATTTTCAGGTAACTCTACTGAGTTGAAATATATACAATATCCATTTTTATTAATATAATTTGTTGTTTATCATTCTTTTTATCAGTCTAATTTGGTTTTTATCATTCTTTAATTCTAAAAATAAGAAAAAAAATAAGTGAGTAAATCTTATCTAGATTAAGCTTTAATTTTTGTAAATTTCATGAAACTTTATTTATTTATTGGCATAAAAATTAGGAATAACGCGGATGTCATAATTAGAAATTTTACTTTATGTAATTTCACCAGTGGAATTGATTATACACCAATCAAGTTAATCGGAGCTAAGATCAGAAGTTTAAATCAAACTATTCTGCTGAAGCTGATATAAAAAAAACAGAATATCAATCTATTTAGGTTTTCGTTTGTCTACGTTTATTTCATAAATACAAAATATTGGACATACAATTTCGCCTTCTGGCAACAACAACAGTAGTAACAGCAGCAATAGTAATTTCGCACATTAAACGAATAAAATCACAACTTTGGATTATTTTGAATTATTAATCGCTTACGTATTCTCTCGGTTATGCCCAGCTTTTTGTACATTTTATCGTTGTCGCATCTAAGCAGAAATATTACATATGCAATACTTTATTTGTTGCGCAGACACGGAAATGGGATTTTTTTCAATATTTTCAATATAATAGTTTTTATATTATATGAAAAAACAATATATATGTATAATATATATCCGTAGACAATATCCGTTATTATGTGCTGTACAAACAAAGTGAATTTCATATAAAGATACATTTGTGTTTTTAACAGCGATGTGATGTCTTCGCAGGTACGATTGTGTAGCTCATCGTATGAAAAAATATTATCTAAATATCAATATTAACTTTGTAAAATCTTCTCATTCATTTGTTTTTCATTCCCGCGAAGGTATTTTAATTATCTTTGTTCACGAACTAACGACCGTATTAAAAACTAACGATCCTACATATACATCAAACAATTATGTCAAAAACTTTTTTTTTAATACTTTTTAAATTTTTATCTAGAACAGTATAAACATGAGTCAAAGCGATACCGTATCAAAAAATATATATATATGTATAACCGTATAAAAAAAGGAGTTTTCACAAAGATAAAAGAAAACGTCAGAGACCGTAAGTTATAGTAATATTCATTGTCAGGTCGTGCACCGAACTTTTTATGAAATTTTTATAGACAGAAAACAAAAGTACATTATTTTATCGAACTAAATGTTTAAGTTAATGTTTTACTTTAATTACGACTTAGCGACGCTAAAAATGAAAACATAAAGAAATACTCTGTTCCATTCCGCTTACAAAAAGAAAAAAGAAATTTAATTTATCCCATTGGTAAAGCGCAAATGTTCTATCACATCTTAGGTAAATACACTGATGATAATAAGATGAAGGTAAGATTGTTGTTGCATGTTGAAAGAGCCTTTCGAACGATACGCCATCCTTCGATGTTCCACTTTTACACACTATAGCCTCTGCGTTCAGCGTTCTTTATGGAATTAGCTAGGCATAGTGCGAAGATAATGCCAATTAACTGAAAAAAATAAAAAAGAATATATGTAATTACTATAAGATTCATGTACACAAATAAGAACTGAAGAGTAAAATATACTCAAAAGATTCAACGTTGAAAATCTATTTTGGAGCTTTTTCGCACCAAAATGCAGAATAAAATTTTGTAATTTTATCTGCTGTAATATATATATACTTGTTCCGTCATATATTTATGTATATATTCAGATTCTTTAAATGTATTTTTAATGTTTTTTTTTCTAGCAGACATAAAATCTTAAGTAGAATTTTACCACGAGTTACAAATCGTTTCAAGTGAACTTGAAGCTCCTTCGAGCTAAGATAAATGTATAATTATTACTTCTTGTCGCGTCTTTTCCAATTATCATACAGATGTGATAATTCTGTAGCTATTTAACTTTTTAGCATTTAACTTTTTTATTAGTTTGCGCAATGTTCTTACCTCCGCAGCGGCGATACCCAGAGCGATGCCACCTAATATCTTACAAGCGCTCTTGAAGAAATCTTCCAACGCTTCTGCACAACCCTGCTGATAAGCATCCGACTCAGGACATGTTTCCTCTTTAAGACCGCAGCAACTTCCTGGGATAGACATGTGATGTATAGTATTGAAATCGGAAGGTCCAGTGACACCGCAGCATTCCAACTATAAAAGTACATAATTCACATTGTAATATGCTCTATTTACAAATCCTTGATTACAACATCTCCTTAAACATATTTAATAGATATGTGCATTTAATATTACATTTAATTGTTACATTCAAGATAGAAATACTTAAAATATTCTATTAAAATGAGATTTCAATTCTGCATAACGTGCAGTAAAGTTATTGTGTGTATGCATTAAATTTAAAATGTATTTTAAAAGAATCTTACTGTATCCTGTATGCCATCTACGAGTTCTTTTGCTTCAGTGTTTGCATCCTTGTAGTGGTTGAAGAGGTTAATCGAATATATATTCCGAAAATCGATATTTCCAGAATTCTTCAATGTGACGAACACGTAGATTGCGACTGCTATTTGTATGATCAGGATCGTCAAGAGCAAAGATGCAAACTGTGCGAAAGAGACATATCAATTGTCGCTCGTAATTATTTTCAAGCAGAAGCAAAGCATGTTAAACAACTGTGTTTAATCCGATTGTTATAATCGCAATCGTGAGCGATACGTTATTATAATTATCTAGGAAGTATCATTGAATAGTGAAATATCGATCGTAAGTAAGTTTGTAAGCATATTCTTGAAACAAATAAATAAACTGCATGTAAGATAGAAATCTATAAATGCAACAATAATGTTGTTACATTTACAGTGAATCATTTTGTTTCACTTGCATGGCCTTACATAGAATTTATTTATTCTGTTAATTTAAAAATTTTCACATTTCCTTCTTAATTTAATAAATACAAACATATTTATGTTTTAATTCCACAAGCACAACGCACGTGTCTCGCATATATAATAAATTCAAATTTTTATTTTCAGGATTGAATTTAAAAAATACAATATACGTGAATACAAGTCGAGACCAGAAGAGTTAAATTTCCCTCGTGTTGTACGATCAGATGAAACCTGCTTGGTGGGCTTACCGTGACCATCATACAGTGACTCTCGCGAATCGCACCGCAGCATCCCAGGAAGGCGATGATAAAGATGATGGAGCCAATGACGATCAATGTGATCGATGGGAACATAAGATTCTTTGTAATCTCATCTAAATGTTTGGAATAATGGTTGTTTCCTATTTGTATTAAAACTCCGATGACCAAGATGGCCAGACCACATAACTGCAACAAAATATTTTGTATTCTGTATGTATCATCACATGTATCAAATGTTGTTTTTTATTGTAACAAGTCTGTAACAAATTCTATTTTCCTTGATACATACTCATCACGTCTCGATGCTGAACGAGAATTATTCCGTCATTTTTTTTTTTTATTTTATTCCTACATCGGATATATAGAATTATAACATCGCTAGGATGTGTTTAAAATATTGTTAGTTATTACAACATTATGCAGATATAAAGAATAAACATTATAATTATAATTAATATTTTAAAAAATAAAAATCCGTCTAAATTATAAATTTGAAGAAACATTTTTTACACATTATTAAATAAAGAATTTCGGAAATTAGTATAACCAAATGTAAAAACTCTTCTGATTTCCAATATAGTTGTCTATACTTAACAACAATAGTATTTTTAATTGTTACTTATTAGTAATTAAATTACTTATTAGATGTTACTTATTAATAACAATTAAGTGTAATAATTTAATAATTACTTTTTAGATATATAATGGAATATCGAAGTTAAGACATCGGAAATCAAGCGCAGCCTCTGTATTTGAGTCCGATTTTGGCTACGTTTATTTCGCCGATTACGAACTGTTGTGTTCGCCAAATATGTATTCAACATTGTTGCCTAGTACATTTCGAGGATAGAAATAGATCAACGGTATGGGACACACATTGAACAGTCCCAGATATCTGGAAATCGTCCTTGAAGCATCGTACGCGCATTATTTTTACACGTTGCTACGTGACACGTGTTATGGTCGATCTTGAGATCGCCGCAGGTGGACTAATGCACTTGTCCAGCATATAAGAAAAACGCGGACACTCTGTGTTGGCTCAATCGATTCAACCTTTAATAATTTCCGCCCTAGTTTCAGAATGGCCAGAACTTTGTCGCAAACTCCGTCGTAAAGGCTCCGTCAGCTATGCCGTACATGGAATAACCGAGCAAGAGAAAGCAGAAACGCGAAGAAGCAACATGAAAAATTATTCCTCGGGATAACGTCAATTCAGTCAAGAATTTCGAAAAATGAAAGATTAGCAAACGATCAGAAGCAGCAACAATAATTAATTGATGATTAATCGCTAATTGCTCTAATTAATCGATATCCCCTTCTAATAATTAGAGGATTAACTTTGATCTCGGTTTAATTTTCTCTTTATCTTTTCTTTTTATCTTTTTTCCGAATTCTTAGAATTGAACAAAGGTAAATATTTGCGAGATTAAAAACATTAGATAGAAATGGACATTCACGTTTCACTTACTTCTATTTCTATCGATATAGATTAATTTTAATCTCAGTTTAATCTCAGTTTTTCCCTTTTCTAATTCTACGAAGTAAAATGTAGATAAAAAGAGATTAAAGTTAATCTATAGATAGAAGTGGACATAAAACTTTTAAAGTTTACAAGCCGTTCTCGACGAGCGAGTCATATCGCTGGTTGGGAGACGCTGCTATTGAGAACCTGATCTTTATTTTACCCGCGAGCTATTGAAATTATGTATGCCGAGTCGGTATGCGTGAGAACGTGTGTACACGCGCACGCGTGTGTCTGTAAGATGACATCATCGTAACCATCACAACGTCCTCGGAACCGATTTCCACCTCGAAATTACGTATGCTCGACGACGGCACTGCCTTTCTTCGTAGAAGCAACTGGTATCTTCCTCGCGTAATTAACAAATGCGATTGACCAATCTCGGAGAAAGCAATTTCAACATGGAATTTCGATTTGGAAACTGTGCTTCCAACCGGAATTTTTCAGGCCCCTCTTACTCGGTTAAACGCACGCGATGAAAATATAGAGGCTCCGAGAAGAACCGAGAATTTTCGTCGTGCGGTTACTATATGGTGATCGATAAGATAACTATCGATCGCGAAAGGCATGAATAATTCTATCCAAGTGAAATATTTGCTCGCGTCTAGAGAAGAGCGAAAACGCATGAATCACCCCCCATTGCACAACACGCGCGAATGTGAGTGAATTTATCGAGATCGCAAGATAAATAAGAGTATGATAACAATAGCGAGACCGTTCGGAATATCGAGAAAAGAAGAATGCAACGCGAGTTGTAGTTAAAATACAAATGATCCATCTCTCTTTGTTATTTCAAGGAAATTAATACTAATAAAAAAAATAAATAAACGTAGCAGAAACGTGAACGTGATTGTTAGAAATCAATATGTAACGAATCATCGTCATGAGGCAACACGATAAAATCATCATCGATAAAATTAACAATTACGATTAATAACATCTGGAGCGTATATCATGAAATTCTTTGTAATGTCGGAGATAACTTCGGATAACAAATGTGAATAACAATTAATCATATCTGATAACAAATCGGCGAGTTTATTTTTAGGATCGTGTTTCGCGCAAAATAAACTCCCGTGTCTTTGATTAATGAACATTTTCTGAATTTCAAAAGCTATTTCTGGAATATATACGATAGACTTACATTCGTCGATTATACGAGAATTTTTTATATGTGCGAATAAAATTCAATTTGTTTTTTTCTTTTATAAAATTTCAGAGAATGCACAAAGAGCAAAAAAAAAGTACCGTAAATCCGAATGCGAACGAGCTTATTGTCGAATATGGACTATGTAAATATCGGAGCAACGTGGAAAATTGCGCATCGAGGAACGTAACTGCGAAGATAATACACGTGGTATGTGCAAGGCGTGACGCGATAATTACGGAAAATGAGACACCAGGGAATGCCCGGCTGCACTGACAGGCGACAATCTTCAGTTTGGTAGAGGACGAAAATTGTAGGCACTGTTAAATGCATAATAACGTAATGTAATGAATGATATTGCGAAATATGCGATATACGAGGAACTTGCATGCGAAGCTGATTGTTCATTGATGCGATCTAAAAATAAAGGAAGATTGCAATTTCCCATCATCACTATGTTAATTATGCAATCATTAGCGAGATTATCCTGTTTTCAGTCAGAAAAATATATTTAACTTAGTTAGCTTCTAATCCAGCGTTAGTAATCGGTACATGAATATTTCTGTTGCTGGAGTAAGAATAATTGACATATTAGATATTGAAAAGGAATTAAAATTTCTTAATTAAAAGAATATTTTTCGATTATTTAATTGCAAGATATATTGAATTGTTTTTTAGAATGTAAATTGTATATAACAAATTAATTTGAAAAACAAAAAAGAGATGATTTGCGAATCAAAATCATGATTTTTCGATCTTGAATATTAACAAATCTTAATCCTGTAATCTTTTCTTTGAAAGATGTAATTACATTTGACAAACACTCAGATAATATTTAAGTGTAATTACATATCGTTGGCAATCGAGAATGATAAACATGTTTATCGATAAAATGTATGACATTCAACATCTAAAAAAAAAGAAAAATTAAATGATATTACTAAAATTAGTTTAAATGCTACAATTTTAATTTAAAATCGATTTTTTAACAGAAATTATATTACAGTATTTATTCACGTTATATTTAATATTCAGTAAATTATTTCCAACGAATTACTTTTTATTCCAAGAAATTCATTTTTTTTTACTAAGACTAATTATTATGATAATTATTTCAACTTTAAAGTTAAATAACCCATTATCAAATTTTCAAATAAAATTTCCTTGGAAAAGCGATAGTGGGATTGTTTGAAGAATGAGATTATCGTCGGTACATCAGTTTGGACACACCCAAGATACGTATGCACAAAGAAAAAAAAATTGCGTAACTAATCAAAGAAAATCGTGAGATAAATGATAAAAGAAGCGTCGTCTTGGTTATTGCGACTTTCAAACATTCAAAATAGTGACGTAATTGTCCGTACGACAGAACACAAATCTGACGAGCACTCTAACGAACGGGTAATTTGAATATCATTTCTTTTTTCTTCGTATTGTTATCTCTGTCGAGAACCGATGTTCGTACAATCACGAGTGTCGTTATGTTCGCGCAATTTTTATCATCGAGTATGAAAAAGCAGAAACAAGAACAACATTGTTAGCGTCAAAATAATTGATTGGAAATATTTTTATTTATTTTTAAAATATCGAACAATATTTTTTTTTATTAGCGTCACTTCATACAAACATGAACAGCTACTTAAGTAGATTAACAATTACTTAACTAAGTTGATAATTTAACAACGTAAAACATATTTTGTGTTAATGGAAGCATTATCTAATTGCTTTGACATTTGAACATTTAATAATATCAAATCAAATATTTAAAATAAAATAAAAAATAAAATAAAATTCCATTGTAGATTCTGATAAAAAATATAGGTCGTTCAAAAGACTTCGGGATAAAAGCATAAGAAATGAGCAAAATTTATGTCCATGTTATGTAATAAAAACGATCCGCGTGAGAGACCATCATTCATGAACGGATCGATGAATATTCAGAGAGCGATTCTATAAACGATAATGAACTGACATTGATGCTCAATTAATTTGCAAGTAGATGCGGAATATTCTATTCGCCTTGTCGAAACAACCGTCGGGACAATAATTGTCAACAGAAAAGCCGACGTTTAAAACAGTATACACTATATAATGTATAATGTATGTAACAATATCTCTTGACGTTGCGTTTCGTCCCGATAATACCACCATTTATTTCCACGCGAATTATAATTAACTGTAACAGAACGAACCCACGTTTTACGAACATTGACGTTTTACGAAGGAAATAAATCATGCACTCACGAAAATTAATTCGTGAAAACGAGTTTACGCGGTATGAGAAATGAATGAGATCGCTTTCTCAAGGATCTCCATAAAACTAACGACCATCTTTCACTCGCAACCTTGTATAATCTGACCTTTTCGTGATAGATTCGTAAGCGGGAATACATGAGCGTCATAAATGAATTTATTCTTACAATCTGATCGCAAATTCTTCGAAAACAGAACATGGAAAACGACGTGACCCAGATTTCCTCAAAGAGATCAGTAAAGTTTTAATCCCTGAAAATATCAAAGGGGAAAAAACGGGAATATTCGTGGAATTAAAGTTACGAGAGATAAAATTTCTAGATTTATTTCGAAGAAAATATATACAAACAATTCGATATAAAAAAATTTGTCTCTATAAAGTTTCCATCACGTCAAATCTTTTTGCTTTAGCTGATATAATGATTTACTTCTGCCAATTATTTTCATCCTCATTAATTTATGAAAAGTTTTTTACACGACTTTCATTCCGTAGATAATGAATATCTCGCGATAAGAGCAAGATGGTTCTCTTCAGTATTTCGATGCTGCACTGAAGTTTGGGCATCATTGCAAGTTACCTAGCCGAACAACAAGATTATCTATTGCACGCTCGATAATTTTAGCCATCCTTTACGTAGGTGTCCGGTTTACATCCACTGCAATCTGTTGTGCGTCTGTTATACGATGACAGCTACATAAATAATACTAACGAATAGGTGATACTAAATTATATAATCAAGCAAGCGAAACGGGCAACACGTAAAAATGTAATTCGAATTACCGAAAAATATTTTCCATTAATCGGATGCGGTTCCGTAATTATTTTCTTCATTCGCAAGAATTCGCTTGAAACGCGGAGTGAATAATTATGTCAATGCTGGTAAATCGAATACGTGAAATGAATCTATACGAGCAAATGTAACTGAAAATATTTCAATTGAATAGTTCGCTGAACTAGATAGTCGTAGCGTGCGGTTGACTTTTACGATAATCTATCTGGTAGGATATTTTCTTTTCGATACATTTTATTGATTTTTTGATAAGATTATAATTTCCCCCTCGAAATCGAAAGAGGACTAACGATACCGAGAATAGAACGCGAGGTTTTTATGCGATGATGCATTCAGTCATTTCTGGATTATTTCCTTTAGGATCCTCCAAAAATGTTGAGACGCAATTTTACGATGACGCACACGGTGGCTTCAACGCTAGCTCCGTTCTCGCCATCACGTATCGACTTTCGGAGGAGGACGGAGGAGGAACTAGTCGGGAGACGCAAGTCTCTTACGCAACGATCCTTTGTCCTCCGACGCGCAAAACGACGAGTTTTGCGGGCGTTTGGCGAAATTCAATGTACAAACGACGATAACTATGAAAGGAGGGCGGAGTAATGGCGTAGGGGAGACCTTGGGAGCTGTAAGAAACGACCATTGTGACCGGCCACGGCAAGCAAGCCGGGCGGAAAGAGCGATCGTAAAGAGAAAGAAGACGAGGAGGAAATAGCTTGACTGTCCCTCGTGACATCTCTGCAAAAATATATCGAGAAACGAAAGCTTCCTCTAAATGTTACATCATCCGTTAATTAAGATAATTGCACTAAGGAAAATTACGCGATTCTTCTACGGAGTCTTGGCGAAAAAAGACAAGTAAGTTGCCCGGGCGTAGGTGCTTACGCGAGTTTTTAAGACGGTTTTTCGTAGCTCTCGCGTAATTTTAAATTGATAATGCCATTGATAATGCCTAAGTGGAACGAGATAAGTAAGGTGATTCACGATTATCGCACTCCTGTCCTTTTTCTTCCTCTTTTAAACACACTCGAATACGTGGTCTTTTTTTCTTGTTTTTTTCCCTCCTTCTTTTTTTTGTTCTCTTTTTTTGCATTACACTCGCTCGACGAAATTTTATCTTTGATCGCATTTCGTAATATTGAACCGTCGATATCGCGGACTTTTAAAAGTCAAAAAGATAAAAATGGCAGGATAAACCATCCTGCGTGCGACGCGACGGGACACGACGCGACGCGATTGATTGCGATAACGAGTAATGCACTGATTGGATGACATTATCGATTAACACGTAAGCGCGGATCACGCACGCAATCAATAACAATTGTTCGGAACAAGTGCAAAATACACTTCACCGTACAATAGAGCCACGCTTCAGTATCGTATTTTTTTGTTCAACTCAAGTGCGCTACTATAGTAACCCGTCGTTTTTTCCAACATCGTGATTGCTCTATCGTAATTATCAAGCGTTTGGTCAAGCGCATTACTGATACACGAATCGATATTCGTGGCTGGAGAACAATGCAGGCCGGCAGATGCACACGAGGATACGCGTGACACATTAAATTAACGACGTTTATATGACTCCCGTAATTGTCAGCCTTGGCTTTTGTTATCGCTATGAGTCAGAATCGCCGGTGACGAATATTTCTATATGAAGGTAATACGCATATATGTATACGCAGTGTGTGTGTGTGTGTGTGTGTGTGTGTGTGTGTGTGTGTGTGTGTGTGTGTGTGTGTGTGTGTGTGTGTGTAGTAAAAGGAGATCCGTCTCTCTCGCTCGAATGCTCCGTAATGTAATATATCGTTCTGTTTATAACGCGCGTTTTACATGCCTGAACATTTGGAATATCGCCAAGTGAAAAGGCCATTAGAGATCATCAGAGAGGTCATTAAATATTATCCGAATTAATTTAACAATTGAATTGGCAGTCGTCGCAAGCGGGGAATTTCGTACTCTTGCCAATTCGACGAGTCAATCTTTAATACAATCAATCGAACAAAATTAAATTAAAAAATTAAAGACTTGCTTTCACTCAACAGAGTTTTTTAAGACTTCTTGCAGCGAAATCAATTTTTTTTTAATTTTACTGCAATATCAAACTTTTATATTGAAATATACAAATTTCATTTTCATTTCTTTTTACATTAATCGTGAAATGTATTTATAATGACTGTTTATAAAGTCTCGCGACTCGTAGCACCAGGCTGTTTGTACGTTTCAATTCTTAAGGTCCGTATTTATATTTCAAGATTTACAAATTTAACAAGAATATAAAAAAAGCTCGAGATTTCATGGAATTAAATTTGTTCCAAAAATTGAATTCTTTTCGCAGAATCTGATTCTTCACCGAATGAGAGGGCACAGATTTCAAGATTTCGCGATCCCACCATTGTCTTCCTCATTGCGATCGATCATGCGATCTCAATCATGTAATCTGCTCTAGGAACACGGAGGAAGCGTTTAAAAAAAAAATATCACAATTCCGTCAATGGAAAACGAGACAAAATTGCGATAGTCACGCTAGCGAGATCACGGATAGGATGCAGTCTGCACGTTTCAAGGACGAGAGCGTGTTCGCGCGCGCAAAAAAGATTGAGTAATCCACCAGCTTCGCCGGGAAATTCGCGGAACTCGCTTGCCGGCTTCGTTCCGCGAAAAGATCGCTATGTATAAATATCGCAAACAGCGGCGTATTTCCGACGCTCGCTCGATCACTCGAGCACGCGTTTTCAACGCGTGCTGCAGGTGCGACACCATTTGACCCAGAGATCATCGTATCGAGCATGATTCGAGGGATCAACACAAATAAAAACAAAGAAATGAATCGAAGGAAGATGCGAGCCGCGTATTCGAGACGAAACGGAAAACATGGGTCTGTTTTTTTTATAGCTGATTTAAGATACCTTGTTGTACTTAAGAGGAAATAGATATACATATGTTCCATGTTTGATGAAAGTAAGAAAAAAATTGTAGTGTGATAAAAAGAAAAAAAACAAGCCTATCGAAGGTTATCTCAGGTCCGAAAGGTTGATATTCTGAATTGATAAAAATAAATATTGTGACTTCTCGGCCAATCAAGTGGTTTCTAAACCACTTTTGGAGGTTGACTATTTTGACAGAGATAGATAGAATAAAAGAAGAAACAACAAAAAACATAAAGAATTCATAACTTCGACATATAAAAAGCCAAGAAACCATCTTCGGTACGTATCTTCAATTTATAATTAAGGAATAACAAGTTGTTCTTTCAAAAAATAATTTTCTGTTTTTAATTTTTTTATATTTAATTTTATATTTAATTTCTTTATTTCCCGTTTATTGTGTCTTATCGATAAAAGTAAATTATATGGGTCTTCACATCGAAAGTCCTTCAGCTCGATCGAGCGAGAAATCGGGATCGAAGAACCGCCGACTTCACGGCGTCGTCTGATCGGCCACGACCGAAAGGGAATTTCCGTTCGCAGCCGGAACGCTACCGCTTCATTTTCAATTCGCGATAAGCGATATGCGCTCGAATTCAGACAAGTTCGTGCAGGCAATCGGCAGGACGGTTTATCGTGAAAAGTGATAAGATAGATACAGGGATCGGTCGGCGTTATAACGCCATAAATCGCGTCGTGATACGAAACGATGTGTTTCTCGAGTTACTTACCACAAAAATGAAATTAAATATGAAGAGCAGATACTTGACTACACCCATTGCGCACCCCATTTTGCTTATCAATTTTGTAACTCGGCGCCTCGCAATGTGAAGAAAACCGCTTTGCGAGCGAAGACGTGAGAGATCGAAATCGGCCGAGACGGAGTCGGCAACGCGACGCGCGACGCAACCGGAACGCAACGGCACGCAACACACGACACGACCGACGACTCGAATTTAACTGTTCGACTCTCCAACTGAAATTCCATTCAAGCGATGCTTCGCGCGCGCGGCGCCTGCGAAACTGTCCGAAGTTAGCCGAAGATGCGATATGTGGTGGAGTAACCGCTTCGGATTGCAATCGGATATGGAGGATTGCATTCGACAAATGAATTGTCGAGATATTACTTTTCGCTCGTATTTTATCTCGATACTGCAAAATTAAGTTGTTGGAATCGAGAATAAACAAGATAACAAGATTGATTACTGTTGCTCGAAAATCGAAGAGACTGCCTTTGATATTGATGATTAATCTTCTGTAACGCCATGTAATTTTCAAATCATATTTACATGATTTTAATTTTTTATTTTATTATTTTATTTTTTATTTTATTTTTCGTAACTTTAACGTAGTATTAATTCTTTACTAGGATTTTATTTAGTCTAATTTTATGATAAAAAATTAGAGGTGTTTTACATCAAGATTCTGATTTTTAAAATATTGAAAGTTAATTACTTACATGCCAACATCAATATTTGTTTTTACGTTATGTAATTTTTTTCAAACGCGAAAAAATTGGTTCATAGAGAGTTAATTAAAAGCAAACTTTGAACTAAACTCTTGTTGTATGAACACACAATGTTATATATGTACTTTATATAGAAATTTTCAAAATTTGTTAGTATGACTTTTTACGTGTAAAATAGAAATATAATTATTTGAAATACTGAAATATTATATTTAATATCTCGCGATTAGCAATGTATGATAAATTCTGTAATATATTTTCAATTATTTAATTAAATAAATTCAATTATTTTAAAATTTAATTAATATTATTAATTTTATATCTTAATTATATTTTTATATATTTAATTGTTAACAGACTTTGATTATTTGAAACTTTTCGAAATGAGTACTGATGATAATTTGATAAATTGCTTTGAACAGCGCTGTCAATCTAATCTGCCAATCTTATCTGCCAAAAGTATGTGCTAATCTTGAATACAGAGAATTGAAGATTCAATTATCGAACTTTTGAGAATTGATTTTAATAGCTATAAATAAATTCTGATTAAATTCATGATTATAAGAAAATGATATTTAATATTAAATCCAAATATTCGTCGTGTCCAAAAGATTAAAAAAGAATAATTGAATAGATGGAAATAATATTTTTATAAATAATGACTTTTAATGGCAGAATAATTTGAATTATTTGAGCATATGACGTGATTGAGAAGAATTCAGTCATCTGGATGACGCGCAGCATGATGTCATTAAAAATCTTCTTATGCCTCTTCTTATGCCTCGTCTGATGTGATGAGGAAAACCAGACATGTATCTTTAAATGAAATATATCAGAAATTCATTTAAATATATTGAAATCATTTTTTTTTAACAAAGAAGTATTTGCTTTGAGAAACTATATTTTTTTAAAATGAAATATACTTTATAAATTGCTAGATTTTTATCTTAAATAGTATATATTTTATATACCACTATAAATTATTTTATTATTTTTATTGCAAATTTTTATGTGAAAGTGGAAAAGATGTTGATGGGGCAATAAGAAATAACTTTAGAATTATTTAAATGTTTTTTTTTCTTTTATAGAAAAAAAAATTACATTTCTACACAATCACGCTCTTTGTACAAAATAGTTTTCACTCTCGTGATTTTTGGAAAATTAGAGAAGATTTATGTATTAGTGATAAAATTGCGATTGCGACAAAAAAGTTTGATCAATTAACGGAAAATGAAGATGTGAATTAAGAGATATATAAATAAAAAAATTTGTTTTCACCATTAAAATATTTTTTCTATATATTATATATTCTATATATATATATATATATATATATATATATCTAGTTG